CCGCGCCAGCTCCCGCCCCGGCCGATCTGGCCAACGAGGCGTGCGCCGCCGCGCGCGCTCTCCAGCTGCACTGCAACGTGCGCAGCGCGGCGGCGGCGCTGGACCCAGTTTTGGCCCCATTTGGCGAAATGGCGGAGGCCCGGGAGGAGGGCTTGCTCCTCGACGCTCTGGGCATCTCGGGCTGGCCCCTCGCCTGCCTCGCCGCGACGCTGCGGCCGGGGCCGGGGCCGGGGCCGCCCCAGGGGCGAGGGAGCGCCACGGCCGCGCCCGCGCCCAGGCCGCCGCGCGGCGTCAGCGCGCACTGCCGGGGGTCACCCTACCGGGCGCGGCTGCTGGTGGGGCCGCCCAGCGGCAGCGGCGGCGGCGCAGGCGCAAGCGCGGGCGCGGGCTCGGGCGCGCCTTCTGCTGGTCAAGCGGTCGACTTTGTCTTTGCATCGCAAGGGCGCGTGCGCCTGGCGCTCTCGCCGCTGCGGCCATCAAAGCCGCTCCAGCAGCAGCAGCAGCAGCAGCAGCAGCAGCAGCAGCAGCAGCACCAGCAGCTCCAGCCGGCGCCAGCCGTCAAGCCGCAGCTGGCCGGCGAGGCGCTGCTACCACGGCTGGCAGCCGCGCTGCCTGGCGTCACACTGCTGCCTGACCACCGCACAGCGGGCGGCGGCAGCAGGCCCGGCGCTGCGTGGGTTCATGCCAGCAGCCTACCCGTTGTGTTGCCACAGCTGCTGAAGCTCGCGGCCGCGGCTGGCGATCAGGCAGCACAGGCAGCTTCACAGCAGTAGCCCCCTTCGTGCCTGCTCTGCTGCTGTCAGCCGAACCTAAAACCCCATTGTTGTGTAATGTAAGCACACTCCCCGACCCTTGCAATCTTCTGCTGGACAGCGGGCTTGTTGGCAGCACAAAAAACCTCAGGGGTGGCCGAGCGTTGGGTGTGGGGTGAGTGAAGGCACCCAACGCCACATAACCAACCTGTAAACCGGCTGGCGAGCGCGGAGAGCAGCCGGCTGGTTGATGCCGCAGGAGTCGTAAATTCTGCAGGGTTGCAGGACCTCATTCAGCCTTGAGGCGGTGCTGGTCTGCCTGCGATGCGGTGCAGCTGAACAAAAATCAAGGTTCAGGGTTTTCACCAGGACGTCAGCGCTGGATCTGCCTTCCTGGCTGTGTTGTGCACATCCTCGCCTGTCATCAGCCAGCGTCGTCGCCGGTCCTGTGCTCTGAAGCTCGACTGGTGTGGGCTGTGCGCTGGCTTCCTCGATCTAGCCATAAGTCAAGCGCATTGCAAAAGGCTCAGGGTGGGGTTACTGTTTTGGGCGCTGCGCTGGGGGCGTCAGAAAGCAGGGCTCCCGTTGCATCCCATGAGCGCTGTGGATTCAATTACACGGCAAGTGCATTGCAAAAATGGCATTGGCAGCGCCTCTTGATGGTGAGAGTGCGGTACCTGTCGGTTGAGCCTATCCTAGCAACAGCAAAACTGTTTGTGCCGCAACAAAGCACGACGTCCCTGCCAATACATAACATGAGACCTGGTCGTCCTGCAGCGCTGATTCTGCGCTTGTCCAGCGCAGATGCCAGCAGCATTATGTCAAGTCAAGGTGAAGAGGAGTGGTGCCAGTCCCATGAGTTTGGTTGGCGCTCAAAAAGTCAAGTCACGTGTTGCATAATACACGGAGATCTGGCAATCCTTCAAGCCTGCCTTGGTGAATTTGCTTGGCACAGTTTGCCTTCGACAATATGCCCGGATGTGATGGCATACGGCCATCGGTGTGATACGTGGCCACAGAACCCTCAACCCTATCCATCAGCTGTGTACGCGGTGCCCATACACCCAGAATGACTGGCTGTCGTCGCTTAGAATAAGGGAACGGGGTCGGGATGGGTGGAAAAATACCCATGGACAGCAAAGCGTGCACAGCCTGTGGAGCCACGTGGCCACGGGCACGTGAGGGACTGCAGGACAGAGACCAAACGATACAAGTGGCTCTGCCAAAAGGGACACAACACAGTTGCCCCACAACATAGCCCAACATGCGTGATCAAGGGGTGTGGGGCACTGGCCCACGCAATCCCCAGCCACGTGTCCGCGTGGCCTTGCTCAAGCCCCCTGAAGGGGTTGGGCCAAGCCGCACCTGGCTCCGCTCGTAGTGTGTGTGTGTGTGTGTGTGTTTGCGTATATGAGTTCACTGTGTGCCACCGCTGCCTCTCGTTGCACATACAAATGGTTGTGTTGGACCTACGCTCTGCGGCGCTGAGCGTTGGCTGGCTTGCCAGAACAAGGGGCCGAGCCGATCTAGGTGCCGAGCCCACCTGCCAAAAATGGAACACAATTTGTGAGCCCCGCCAAGCAGCCCGGCGCACTGGCGTCAGTGCTGACTTGGCAGGTAAAAGAGCAGCCTGTGGGCGGCCCGCACGCCCGCAGCCTGCAACAGCACGCGGAGCAGGCGCCCCACGGCGCCGAGGCGCCGCTCAGACCCGCCAGCCCTGTTTGGGCCGACGACACTGCCTGGACACCGCGCACCCCCGCCGCCGCTGCCGCTGCTGCCCCCGCCACCCGCCCCTTGTGCTGCCTTTGACGTCGCTGGCCTGACTGGAAGGCTTTCAGGCGCGGAGTTCTGAGGGGGCGCAGCCTCGTGCACTGCCCCTGCCAGAGGGTGCGATGCTGGCTGCGCCGACCCTTTCGCCGCATTAGCGCCCGCGGCAGCAGCCGTGGCGCGCGGCGGCGGCGGCGGCGCCCCCGCCCGGCCGGCGAGCGGGTGCGAGTCAAGGGACAGGGGGCGGGAGAGCGGCGGGAGCGCAACGCATGACAGCCGCGGGGCGGCACGCGCCGCTTGCAAAGAGCGGCGGCGCGTGCCGGCCGCACCCGCACCTGCAATCAAATTGACCAGCGAGCGCAGCAGGCGCAGCTCCAGCCGCGGCAGCAGCGACGCGACGCGCGCGTGCGCCGCCCACAGCGCGCCGGCCGCCGCCCCCAGCGCGCTCAGCGCGCGCGCCGCCGCCCGCAGCGCCCCGCCCAGCCGCGCGCCCGCCGCAACGCCCGCCGCAGCCGCAGGGGCACCCCGGGGCTCCCAGCGTTCGCTGCCAGCGCGCCGCAGGCTGAAGCTGCCGAACCCGCCGCCGCCGACGCCACCGTCGCCGCAGCTGCCCGCCGCGTGCGCCCTCAGCGCGCGCTCTGTCCGCAGCATCGCCGGCCACAGGCCCTTTCTCACGCCCAGATTCACAATCGACGTCCTCGCCAGGGAGTCCTCGAAATACACCAAGATCATCTCTGCCGCTGCCCCGCCGCCTTCGCCGCCGTTCGCTGCGGCTGCGGCCGCCGCCGCCGCCGCCGCGCCCGCGCCCGCCGCTGCGCGTATGACGGCCGCACTGCAATAGTCCGTCACCGGCACCGCGCGCGTGGGCGCCGCAGCCGCGCCGCCCGGCGGCGCACACGCGCGCGCGAGCGCGTAGCAGCCGCCGTCACACGCGCGCGGCCACACGCGGCGCGCGTACGTGTACGCGCGGGGCGCCATCGGCGCGGGGAAACGCACGAGCGCCGCCAGCACCTCGCTCTCGCGCCCGGCGGCCCCTTCCCCCTCGAGCGCCGGCGCCGCAGGCCCGAGTGACGCCGTCGCGCGGTCCCACCGCACGCGCCACGCGTCGTCATGCGCAAAGGCGCGCAGCTGCGCCGGCGTGACGCCCGGGAAGACGGAGCGCGAGAGGTAAAGGTACAGCCCCCTGCGCAGCGGGCGGCGCCAAGCCCAGTACAGCACGCCGCCGCCTGGGGCGCGCTCGTGAATCAGCGGCTCCCAGGGACCGAAAAACGCGGCCGTGTCGGCGGCGCCGAAGAGCGCGCCGGCGCTCGGCCCGACGGGCCCGGGCAAGCCGGCGCTCGCGAGGGCGTCGCGGCTCGAGCGCTCGCCAAGCATCGCGCCGAACGACAGCAGGTGGGCGTCGGTCACGGCAGCGGCGACGCCCGGCGGCGGCGGCGGCGACGCGGCGGCGGCGCGGAGCGAGGCGGTGGCC